CACTGAAGATGTTAGTCAGCATGGATATTAGTGACTGTGAAGCCTTCCAGTTGGAGAGAAAAAAAAAGAAAGTAGTCCAACAGAAGAGACAGAAGCGTTAGGAACACAATGTGAAACACAAGCCACAAAATTGTATAGAGAAATTACTATCATTTTTTGGACCTAGGTTATCTTTCTTTTTTTTATGGGCAAAGACTTTATGAACAAAATCTTACTTATACAGGAAATAATACATCAACAATTGGGTTCACATCAAATTAACAGGCTTTTGCACAGGAAAAAAAAAACAACCAAGAGTGAAGAGACAACCCACAGAATTGGAAAAATTTTTTGCCAGCTACTCCTCAGACAAAGGACTAATATCTTTTTTTTTAGGACTAATATCTTAAACATATAAAGGTTATCTTTCTTATAACCTATTATCTTCATGTTCCCAATTCCTTTAATAGAATCAGAACCAACAACCGTAGGCTAAAATCTCTTCCACTTATACAGGAAGAGATTCAGTTCTTGTCCAGTTCAGTGGGCAGCAAGAATCATAGAAAAAAGTGGAATTCTTGATGAAGTTCTCACTGTACACAGCACTGGGAATCTTAAAACAAATATCAGAGTCTCATATCATTGTTTTCTAGTGAACTAAAAGGTACGCACTTACCATCTGTAATGGTGAACTCACCGGGATTTTTACTCCATTTGTTCTAAAAGCCTTTATGCTTTCCTAATTTATGTCCATCTTTTCAAAAAGTAACAAACTTTAGATTCATTAATGCCTTATTTATTTATTCATATCATACCCTGTCTTTCTACATCATGAGTCTTGCTCAGACTCCTAGTGATCCTCCTGTCACTGCCTGCCCAGTGCTGGGATTATGGGCATGCACCACCACGCCTGGTTGTGGGGCAGGCACAGCATGCAGTACCAGGGATCAAACCCGGATCCTTGCCTTTGCCAAGCAGGCACTTAGATCGCTGAGCTATCTCCCCAGCCCCAGTAATACCATTTTGAAATATTCATTCCTAAAATTAACCTTATCCACTCAAGAACAAAGCTATACCGACACCAAAAAAAAAAAAAAAAAAAAAAAAAAAAAAAATCATTAACATTTTTTTTTTTAAAGAATAGACAATGTGAGCCAGAAATTCAGTTCATTCCATAGCTGTGCATGTCCTGTATGCCAACGGGCCTAAGGACACAGACAAAAGACTCCCAGCCCCAAGTTACTCATCTCTATTTTATTTCCTCCTTTAGGCCTGTAAGGAAACACACCAGACTTCTCACTATTTTTAACTGAGTACAAACAAGCAATTCCCAAGTCGGTGAGCCTTAAAGTTCAAAATGAATGCTTAAAGCCACAATAGGATAACTGATAAAATTTTGGTTTTTATTTAGCAGTATTTTGTCCAAACCCATTTATTATGTCTGGGAATAAATATCATACAGCCCTGATTTAGGTCATACGACTCACTGAATTTTCAGCTCTACTAAAAACTGAGGAAGTCTGAGAGCTCTTCATTTATTCTCCTCATCAAGTTAGCACAGGATAACTCAGGGAGGCCAGAGAAGGTTAATCCTTTTGGGAATAAGGGAACACTTGGAAAATCTAATGAAAATGTTGACATGCAGATGCAAGAAAATTTTAAAATTCATTTTGGGAAAAGGTCCCTGAAATTTCTAAGGGCCTTCCACAGATGGAAAGGCAGTGGGTATGTCTGTTGACTTCGGGGCTTGAACCTGTTTCATTCAATTTGGTATTCCCAGTCCCAGAATAGACTTTAGAAAATAAAATCTTTCAAAGGAGTGAAATTTGACCTTACGGAGCTCACTTTTTAATCTCCCTTCTTCCCTTGATTGTCCACCCACACACTTTTCTAAAATGTATTTGTTCAAGACTGACAATGTAAAAAGTTATTTTCCAAACTCTATTTTCACAATTTTTTTCCACATCACAAAAGAAAGCTGAGGCTTCTATTACCACAAGGAAGAAATCACCTGAGGATAAAAACCACCAGACCACCAAAGACCTTCTGAAGGGATATTTCCTGGGGGAAAAGGCAAGGATACCTCTAGAAGAAACAGAGGAACTGGGCTTTATTTATCCAAGGGGTGAACTCTCAGCAGTTCCCCACACCTTATTTACATGTGGAATAATTTTGGGCGAGAAAGTGAAATGACTGTATTAGGTGACTCTGTATTGCTATTTTAAAAGGCAGGCTTCTCTGATAGAAGTCATCCTAATGATTAATATGACAAAAAGCATTGACTTTAACATCAAAAGAGCTAAATCCACACTTGTGAGCTTTGACACTAGGTACTTGAAGCATAGGCCTAACACATAATGCACTGTAAATTTATAGTTGGCAACAACTTAACCTTGTGGCAAAAAAAAAAAATAGATAACATGAAAAGAACCAAGGAAGTGATGGATTAAAAAATATTTTGAAGGCTATTAAAACAAACATAATTGAAGACCAGTGATTTAGGGGCTGTATGTTGAAAGGATCCTTCCTGTTGCGAGCCATTCATAAAGCTCAGTAAAGGAAGGAAAAAGACAACAACAGGTTATGTTCTTCAACAAACAGATGCCAGTTAGTGCCACCTCTCTTCAGTCTGTCCATAAAAATGCAGTGGCTCATTTCCACCTAGGAGGATTGTTTTCAGGGCAAAGTGTGACAAAGTAGATAAAGGACGCGGAGCCTGGCATAAAGGAACATAAACTATTTACCAAATGTTGCTAAGGGGATTTGGCTTGTTTGTGTGTTTTGTCCCCTTTGTACTGAGTTTAGGTTGTCCCAGAGGTTTAATTTCCTCCTTCATTTTTAATTTTTGACCCTATCTTCCTTTGTTTCTTCATATTTTTTTCCTCAAAAACACAATTTCTCTTTCCTTCTCCCTCCTTTGTTCACTTTCTACCTCTCTCAATCACCTTGTTTTATTTATTTATTTATTTATTTATTGATTGATTGATTGATTGATTGATTGTATTTTAGGGAAGGGTCTACAGGGTGTTCAGGGTCTCACAACTAGATCAGACTCATAGTGATCTTGCCTGTTTATAGCCTCCCAAGAGCTGGGATTACAGGTGCATGCCACCATGCCCAGTCTCAATTGCCATCTCAGGGTGCCCTGGGGGGTGGGCCTGGGGATCAAACCCCAGCCCCTGTGCCTGCTAGCAGGCGCTTTAATCCACTGAGCTATTTGGCTGGCCCTAGTCGCCATGTTTTAATATTCTTTTCCATCTTACTCTTTAAATTTTATTAAAAACTCCACATATTCAAGTTAAAAAAAACAGGATCTTCTGAATATAACATGATGAATGTTTAACCCCATTCCACCAGCAGTGTTATTTTTTCCTAAAAGAAATAATGGTCAAAAGTAGTAAACTATGGTTACACAAAATATTACCTTTGGGGACAATTGGGTAAAGAGTTCATGGAACATTTTTTGTTCATTTTTTGAGCAAAAAAAAATATTTCCTGTGAATGTACAAATATTTAAAAATAAAACTTTTCCAATTAATCAAAGAAAAATTGTTCTGTTCTTTCTTAACTTCTTCCTTGTACTTGTTTCTTATAATGAATATATATTTTCTTCTTAAAGTAATACATTTAAAATGTACCAATAAAATTAATTTTAAAAAATAAAAATAACACACTCATATAGATTACATCTCTTAAGTATGAAGCATTAAATTATAAATATACTACAAAACAGGATAATATTTTTAATGAAAATGTCATAGGGCAAAGAAAATTGCCCGCAAAAGACTTTTAATAAAAAGAAGTTATAAAAGGCTAACAAATTTCATTGCATAAGTATGAATATTTTAAACAATACAACATAACCTAAAATCCATGATAAAATAAAAGCAAACATTTGCTATATATAATAAACAAAGCCTTAAAGTCTATACCTACATATCAATGGGAAGATATTTTTTAAAGAAGAAAGCAAAAATAAGAAAAAGGCAATTCAAAGAAGAAATTCTAACAATCAATACCAACATAACCCATCATATATGCAGAAAAATGCAAATTAAGTTAACAATGTATTACTTTCACTCAACCACAGTGACAACACTTGAAAGATTGATAGTAAGTATACATTTTTGCTTTCAATGTAGAAAAGGTCTCACCAGTTACTGAAATAAAATGTATATTGGAGAGTAGTTTGCAAAATTAAAAGTTAATTGATTGCATTTTGAGATATACACTTTATGAGAACACTTATGACTCAAAACAAGTATAAATGTACATGTTGTCCACTTGATAAGACTTTCTCAGATAGCAAGGGATTGGGACCAGAACATCTGGAGCTCTCAACTCTTGGCACTGGCTACACAGAAAGATCTAAAAGACACTGTCTAACTTTCCTTTCCTCAGAAATGGACCCATTCTCTACCATAAACAGTCCGTAGGCCTGAGAACTGACAGCTCAGAGATGGGCTTCCTCTATGAGACTAACTTTTCAAAGCTCCCTTAGCAGCTGCCGAGATTTATGGGGTTGATGCTGAGCAAGAATTTCCCCTAGACCTGCCGAATTTGATATGACATAGTATGATACATTAACATTATATGATCACCACAGTCACATACATCCTGACAATGTCTCAAAGCACATGCATGCTGTAGATTGGTCCTTCATTCTGTGTATTCTCTTTGATTATTTCAGTTCATAGTTGGCAATCAATAAAGTGGGACTGAAACTCAAAATTGAAAGTAGTGGTAATTGTACTATTTCCTTGAGCAAAGCCACTGATCCTCGTGTTTCGTCCACGGCCTCTGACAGTCAGAAACACAGCTCCACAGGGAGCATGAAGTACTGTGTGGCTTCCCACAATTCTGCCTCATTATTTACGAGTGCCTCCTTCCTCTTTCCTGCCTATGCAGATTGTTTTCCTCTTTGCTTCCCCAACCAGCTCATGCTCACTGTCTTTAAGATCCTCAGTGTTTCAGAAGACTTTCTCCTCTGTTCCACGCAGACAGAAGTCATACACTCTTACCTTTGCCGAATTATGCTGGGATTTGCTGTCACCAAATGACTTTTGGATCCAACATCTTTAGTGTATTCACTCGACAAGGGAGGCAGGTTGCATCTAGAGACACAAGAATAGGCATTTCAGAAAGACTTCATACCTTTAAATCATGTCAGGTATAATGGTACAAACAGGGACTTTCATCTCAGCTCAATTCATAAATAACTCTTTTACCACCTTTCCCTTTTAATAGACATTAGATGACTAATTAACCATCAGCAGCTTTAAAATGCTGTCAAGAAACTAGTCCTGTTTTAGAAGAAAGAAAATGTCAGCTACAGAGGTAAATGATCTACCAAACAATAGAGACGGTAACTAGAATGCATTTATTCGATTTCAAATACTTGAGGTGGTAGGACAGGGAATATTAGGCTGGAAATCAGCCTCAAATAAAGCTATGGTTTTTCCACTCGGTTTTCTTCAGTTTTTGCATCCTCATGGTTCTCTTCAACCCACATATCTAACTTGACCCCTGCCACGTGGAGTTAAATCTAACTTTCTACCACTGGAGCACATCAAAGCATATTTATAGATAAAAATATCTTAGAAATATTGAGGTCTTTGTCAGCTATTATGAGTTGTGATTGAAAACCACAGCGAATGTTTCAATTTTTTAATTACAGTAGAAAAGCACTGAACCTTCCTCCCATTTCCCCCCTTCATTGAGTACATGTATCCCATCATTCTTGCTGCTTTCGGAAGCAGTTCTGGAAAGTTCTCTTACATGAGCATTTTTATTTGGTTGCACTGTTGTTGCAGCCTCAATGTCCTGAATTAATTTAAACCATTCACCATTCATGGTCGCATTTACTTTGGAAGAGTCTGAAGTCCTATCGTGTCAGGTCCAGTGAATAAGGTGGATGTGGACACACTGTAGTCATTGTATGAAATACATGCACAAGAGAGGTGTCCAGAACTTTAAGGTAGCACAAATAACAAGAAATGTGTATTCCAAGTCAGGGGAAGTATTTTGAGGAGTTATTGATAGTGTATCTTCTATAGTAATATTTTCCAATTCAAATGTTCACCATATATTTTATAAATATGCCCCAAGAGATGGAATTGAGCATATGCGCCCTCAGCTGATCAATGTGAGCTCTTGGGTTTTGTGTTTGCTCTTATCCTTGGACTCCTACCACATCAGGACAGAGTCTTGCTTTCATGCCTGGTGAGTAACGAGGGGCTCATTCTTCTGCCAATAACCCACAGGTCAGTATGTCAGTCAGTTGATGATGTCACTGAGAGAAAATATTGAGGGCCTTGAGGGGAGCTGGGGAGAGCCGGTCACAGGATCTGTAAGGCACATTCGGCCATTCGTGAGACCACACACATCCTGTGTGGTTTCCTGAGCACCCTCACACGGAAGTGAACTTGTGACTTAACCCTGGCTCACCAGGCTGCGGTACGGAGTTCAGTCTTGTGACTTAGCAGAACTTTATTTCATACATAAAACAGATTAAAATTCAGACACGCCTCTTCAAGAAGAAGCCTTGTTTTGGACGGCCTTTGGTAACATCTGAGAACCACCCACGCCTTATTAAAACTGTGAACTCTAAGCATTGCTAGAAGTGCTGCTCGCCTGTCGTGTGTATGTTCTATGGTCTGTACATCTGAATCCTCCCAGACTTCCTACCACAGAGCACAAGCTCAAGAAAAATCTGCAGATGTTGGTTGGACCCCATAATAAAAGAAAATGCTCACAACAGTAAAGTATATAAATGGATTTCTAGAAAATAATAGCAAAATATTTTGGTGCAAATATCTGCCTTACCCTCTTCTAAATGAATTCTCTTTTCAAGCACAAATATCTAAGACAATTTCCTCTATCTCTTTTCTTAGGAAAAGCACACTACAATTTTGGCTCCTCGGCTCCTAAGTTGATAATGACATAGATTTATATAAAAGGCACATTTAATACAGTCAGATTGTTTCTAATGAGGCATAATTTTGTAAAAGTGTTTCAAACTTTGCATTATTGCTTGTTGGCACAATTAACAGATATTAATGGCTAAAGTATCTTAGTAACAGTGTGCATGATCCTAAAAGAGAGCTAATCCAAAAGCTGGCAAGAAATGGGAAGTAGAATGGGTGAGAAATGAACTTAGTGCAGAGAAAATTTTAAAGGGGGGAAATCCCAAAATTACTTTAAAATTTTTGTTCTCATATATTTATGAATGCTGTGTCCACCTGAGTGTAACTCAGAGGGCTCCGATATCTTGTCTTCTGCGCTGTGAACCCGGCCCCCACAGCTTTCCTCGTGGATACCATCACTAGTATTGCTTTCTCACAGGCCTTCCAGATATATTGAATGCAACAGTATTATTTTTAAATTTTTAGTTAAAAATTATTTTGATTATAGAGCAAAATACGTACTTTGAAAAAGGCACAGTTGATCTTCATCATTTTAGAAGATGTGTTTGAAAATATCTGAGCAAAAAAACTGTAGCATTATTATATTCTAGTCGTAAAAGTTTGAACTGTAATCTGGTATTTTACTAAGTACACTATCTGGTACATTGCTAAGCACACTACCTGGTGTATCCCTAAGCACATCATCTGTTACATCATTAAGCATACTACATGGTATATCACTAAGCACACTATTTGGTGTATCACCAAGCACACTATCTGGTGTATCAC